TAAATCAACAGTCAATGTTGATTTTATTGTTCGAAGATGAAATTGCTCTGGCTTCAAGAGAACTGTTCTTTGTTGCTCAAAAGCTGCATCTCCTTCTTTTGGTGTAAGATAAGAACGTCTAGATAAGGCATCGGACAAACCTTGTTGTTTTCTTGGCCGATAAGTAATGATGAACTCGAATCTTGATAAAGACATACTCTAACGAGCTTGGCGACGATTTAATACAGGTGCTGACATAAAATATTTGAGGTTCTTGTGATCCGTATACATGATGACTGGACTGGAAGCACCTTCTAGATAATGATGCCATTCTTGAAAAGAATCCATAATTGCAAAAAATTCTTTGTCGTGGATCTCATAATTGATTTTTGCTGCTGAGAATTTTCTTGAATGAAAGGCTATTGGATAAAGTTTGTCATCTGTTCCTATTTGTGATAAAACCGCACCGAGAGCAAAGTCCGATGCATGTGTTTCCATAAAGAATGCTTTAGAAAAATCAACACGATACAAGATTGGTGCAGAAACAAACGCTGTCTTCAAAGATTCAAAAACAACTTCTGCTTCTTGATTCCATTGGAGTTTGTCTTTACAAGTCAAACGTGTAAGTGGAGCTGCAACTCGAGAGAAGTCTTTGATGAAGATCCGATAGTAGTTGGCGAATCCCAAAAAACATTGGATATCTCTTACCGTTTTTGGGATCTTCTAGTCTATAATAGTTTGAACTTTCTTAGGATCCATCATAAGTCCATCATTTGAAATGATGTAACCTAAGAAATTGACTTGAGTAGTGTGGAATACATACTTTTCTATCTTGGCATAGAGTCCTGCATCTCTTAATTTTTGTAACACACGACAAACATGAAGTTCATGTTCTTCTGAATTCTTAGAATAGATCAAGATGTCATCTTGATAACAGACCACAAAATCGTCTAAAAAATCTCAAAAAACATCATTCATTAGATGTTGAAAAGCTGTTGGTGCATTTGTAAGTCCAAAAGGCATGACATTGTATTCAAAATGTCCATACCTAGTTCGAAACGTAATCTTCCATTCATCTTTTTCTTTAATGCATACTAGATTGTGTGCTCCCCGAAGATCTATTTTTGTATAGATCTTAGCTTGATTCAGCTGATCAAGAAGTCTAGATATTAAAGGTAGTGGATACTTGTTCTTGATGGTAATCTTGTTGAGTCTTCGATAATCAACACACATGTGCAATGATCAATCTTTTTTCTTCACAAATAGAATTGGAACTCCTACCGGAGATTTAGATTGGCGTATGAAATTCTTGGCTAGATTTTCTTCAATATACTCCTTGAGTTTAGCCAACTCATTTTGTAATAAACTGTAGATTGGTCTGAATGGCGGTTGTGCTCCTTCTTGAAGGTCAATTGACCAATCATAGGGACGATGTTCCGGGAGTGTATCCGCATTCTATTTTTTAAATACATCTTGAAATTTTTGATATTGGCTTGGAATGCCACTTGAAGTCTTTCCACCAGTAGAAACGGGTGTGGCATAAATAATATATGGTGATTCTTTCATAGCAGCATGCAAGAAAGCTTTTGTATCTATAAATACGGGTTTAATTGAACTGGACTTATGACTCTCTACTTGATTAATTACACTGGTAGTTATACTTTTAGAGAAAGTAAGAGTTCGAGAAATTCTATCTATTTGAGGGTTGTATTTTTCTAACCACGATAAACCTAAAATGACTGGATTAGAGGGAGATCTAATGATATTAAATACTACGAAGCTATTATGACCATTGATTATTACTTCTATAGGAAGGATTTCGTGAATAATATCTCCAGAAGACAATGGACGACCATCTATGACTTCTACATGAACAGGTTTAGTTTTCTTTACTAAAGTTATGCTATGTCTTTTAGTAAATTCTTCATCTAAAAAACACGCTGAGGCTCCTGAATCTAATAAGGCAGAGACTTTGTAATATTTAGGTCCTAAAATAATATTTAATGTAAAACAAGGAGAGGGCTCTGAGGAGAGAATAGGACCTTTACTAGATGTTGTGCAAGGTTCCAGCGGTATGGTTCCTATTGTAACTAGACAAACTCATTTTTTGACATATTTTCTTCTTTCACAGCCATACTCCTCATTTTGTGATTGCATCGTTTCTTTGAATAATGTTGAGTAGTGTGCTTTGGTTCTCCACAATATAAACATAATCCTTCTTGATAACGACGAGTCTTTTCTTGCTCAATAAGAGGTTTGAAACATACTGCATCAATTTGCATATCCTTTACTTCCGAATGTATGTGTTGAAGAGGTGTTGGTGTAATTACTATAATTCAATGGTGTATAAGTGGACCTCAACATTACTATAATTCAATTGACTAATAAGTACAACATCATCCCACTTGATATCAGTTGCAAGTTATCGAAATTATAAAGTGTATAACATTACTGATCGATTGCCTTATTTTAAAATACGGATCTTATTGGTTGCAACACGAATTGCATCATGTTCTCTATACATGGATTGAAACTCCGCTAAAAAAACCTCTAGATTATCCAATATTGGATCTTGTCGTTCAAGAAAAGATGAAAACCATAATAGTGTTGAACCTGAAAGAAGCATACCAATGAATCTAACTTGCGATCCTAGAGTTGGATAGCTTTGGAGTTGAAGTTCAATCACAAGTTGCACTTAATTGATAAATCCTCAAAACTTAGATCTGGTGCCACCAAACTTCTCGGGTAGAGCAATTCTTGGTTCTCTAACATTTGAAGGGCGTTCCACCATAGGAGAAAGAACATGATTTGGTGCAGATGTTGAAGGAGCTCCAACCATTTCTATATCTTCACTTCTTGCTAATCTTGTTGCTCCTTGTGGTGGTAAATTGAGTTGAAGCATCGCAAGCATTAACTCCCTCAATTGCTATTGCATTTGTGCCATTGCACTCTTCATTTCAACAAATTCTGCCATGATAATACTTAGAAGAGAGAAGATCTCTAATATCGCTCAAGACAAATAGAAGAGAGGATTTGAGAGCAAAGAAAATACTAAGGACAATATCAGTTTAGAAGAAGGTAATCTGCAACTTCTAATATGCTTATATCTTATCAAGAAAAAGGGGTAATCCACTCTTAATCAAGATTAGATAAAGCTCTGATATTGTAGGTGTATTCTTGTCAATCTGTTAAGGATAAGAACTTGATGAAAAAATAATTCAGACAAGTGAGCCTTCACTCAAAGAAAGGTAACAAAATAAAAATAAACAAGTATATATATTGAAAGAAAAACTGGAATGGCTATTGCCAAAAGACAAGAAAACTAGAGACCCTTGAAACTAGACTGGAAGCAAGAAAGGAGTTGACAAGAGTGAAGAAGGCTTCACTCTTGTCTCTATATATACTATCTAACTAGGGGCTATGTGGCGACATTCTATAGGACCTCCAATATGTGTTGACTTTGTAGGACACATGCTTTGACTTACAAGGCAAGTTTTTCTACATGTGGGCCGCATTGTTAGCTTGATCTTCAAGCTAGCAACATATGTGGCATATGGCAAACTTGTTGACCACGTTTCTAATCCAAAAAGTCAATTAAAGACACCTATGAAGTCAAAGCAGCATCTATGAAGCTTCTAGGAAGCTTCGATTTTAAATACTATAGAATTAACTTACTTCTACCTACTTTTAGTTACTTCTACTTATTTATATATGTAATTACTAGCTTACATGAGTATGTCCGTGACACATTGTTAATTCTAGATCCAATTGTGCTTATGCTATCATGAAATGGTTGGAGCTGCTTCAACATAAGCACAACCACTGAAGCCATATAGATGAGAAAATTATTACATGAACTTGGATTCCCTCAACATGCACCAACCATCATATACTTAGATAGTCAAAGTGCAATTGCTCTCAGTGAAAATCCAAAATATCACTTCAAAAGCAAACATAAAACACAATCTAACAACAGTTCAAAATCAACAAAGAAACACATACCTTCTCAAATTTGAAGAAGCAGTGGAAGAGCTGCAAGAAAGCTCTACATCAACACAACACCCAAAAAAGAGATTGAAACCCTATATTTCTCATACATATTTTTCATAATGGATGAACTTTTGTAAAAGATGAAATCCAATTCAAGGATGAAGATTAGTGTACTAATGGAAGTATTAGGAGAATTATACTATATAATACACTAGTCTCCTATGTAGTATACTATCTACTCTATATTGACCTTACACCAAGAGTTCTGACTCTTGGTGTCACAACTATATAATATATATATGTATATATATATATATATATATATAATATATATATATACTGTATCAATTGATCATATTAATAATAATGACGTTTTCAACAGTGAAGGCACTAGTCCTTCTCAGTGAGGACAGAAGCATGGCAAGAAGGTTCCTGTGGCACTTCGCCCCAGCAACAACCAAGGCTGCTGGACTGACCGGGAATCTAGCAGGGTTATGCTTCTGTCTGAAACTGCTTTACTTCGCACCCAGGCGTATATTGTAGGTCTAGACTCTAACCCTGTTGCTTAGTCGTAATATGTGTGCAGTGATTGCCCTCAACTGTTTTACACCCGCTTATTTGCTTCTCAGTGCTTACCGCTGCGCGAGCGGGTCCGGTTATTCAACCCCTGCCCAGGAAGCGCATGGATACAGCATGTCGAGGTCACGCGAAAGTCAAAACCCGAATGGACCTGCTCTCATTGTTCGCGTGTTGGACTCGAATGTACATAAACCACGAAGCCAACACTCCTCCTCATCGTTGCTTCACAACTTGGATACAGAGATCCGAAAGCGGCATCACAAGGTCTCAAGTTCGGGTGCAGGTTTCGCAATTAAATGCTCAGATCCTAACACTCCCACAGGGCTCCGAGGTGTTGATTTCACCTCCGCCCCGGGTGATCCACAGCAGATTTGACACCTTCTGCCCAGCTCAAGCAGGCGAATTTTCAGGAACTCCAGTGACGGAGGGGGCGTGATCGGAGGTCGGAGGTCATGGATTTGAAAACAGTCCTCACGTTGGTTGCTGTGGTGCTGGCCGCCATCCCAAGCGTTCCCATGGACGCCACAGGGGCGCACAAGGAATTCGACGTCCTCGCCATTTTTGCATTTGGAGACTCGTTGGGTGATGCCGGAACCAACAGTTTCATCCCCCAAGCCTCAGCCAGGGCCGATTTCCTACCATGCGGCAAGACGTTCTTCAGGAAACCCACAGGGCGCTTCACCAACTGCCGGACCGTTGTGGATTTCACAGGTAAGCTGAAGACCTGCATGTAGCATGATCTGAAGATTGATGGAGCTGTTGCGCAGAGTGTGATGGTCAGGCTCCTGATCACTTCATGCTGTTTCATGAGCTTTCAACTGGATGGTGCTCAAATCATGTGAGCAACACGGCCCTGATGAACTTGCAACGTGTTAAAACAGCTCAAAAGTTGGACCTCCCACTCACGCCACCGTTCTTGAAGCCTCACGCTTCCTTCACCAAAGGCGTCAACTTCGCCTCAGGCGGCAGGGGGTTACTGGACTCCACCAGCGCGGATGATTTCGTAAGTCCACGTCCCATTCCCCGGGTCTCGAGGTTGCGCATAGAATCGGCTTCGTGCTTCATTGGCAAAGCTCTTGAGAATAACGGTTCCACAAGTGCCGTGAGGTGTGATTGACCCCAGTGGCAATTGTTCGCTCTGTTCATCTCAGTCGGTTCGGATGAGCACCCAAGTTCAGCAGTTTGCAAGCGCGAAAGCCACCCTGGAGAAGCAGCTCGGCGCCCACAGCGCCGGTATCCTGACCTTCAAATCCATCGTCCTCTTCACCAGCGGGTCGAACGGTCTATCAGACTTCCTCGGCTAAGCGCAGCTCCAGCAGCAGGTGAACGCCACCCAGCTTGTGGCTTCCCTCATTGACGTGTATCAGAAGTCCCTCCTGGTAAGTGGACATCGTGAGCCCTAAGCCCCGGATCGCGTGTCCGGGATCTTCCAAGCGTTTCGATCGAGCCTCTGCCGGGAGGCCCTCTCGGCACGCACGCCGTGCCTGACGGTGACATGCCTGACGGTGACATGCATGTGCAGGCGGTCTACCACGACGGAGCCAGTAAGGCCATCGTGTTCGGCGCTGGTCGGCTGGATGCTCCCCCTTGGCAAGAGCTTCTAACACTGCCAAACAGGGCGAATGTGTTGAGGTAGCAAACCAGCTGGCTTTGGGATTCAACGCGGCCTTGAAGCAATTGGTGGACGGCCTTCGAGCCGCGCTTCCGCGCTTCAACCTGGTGCTCGCCAACAGCTTCGACACCGTGTCCGCAATGATCACCGATGGCAAATCTTTCGGTGAGCGCTCTCGGGTTCTCGTCGCACGCGCTTGGGAACGGGACTTGCAGCAATCCGCAAGCTGGGATCGCATGTGACTACAGAGATTTAACGCGCGGAAACACTCGAATTCTAACACAAAGGGTGGCTGTGCAAAGGGTTGGACAACGTCACAGCGGCCTGCTGCGGAGCCGGATTCCTGAACGCGAAGGTGCAATGCGGGAAGCCCGTGCCGCCCACCTTGCCCGGCGCTGTGCAGGATTTCTGCAGGCGGCCCTTCAAGTCGCTGTTCTGGGACGTGCTGCATCCGACGGAGCACGTGAATTGGATCCTCCTCAACGTGCTGTTCACCTGCGACGCTACAGCGGCATACCCCATCAACTCAAGAGCTCTGGCGCGTCTGTGAAGCTTTGCTTGCCTCTGCCACAGGGCCGAATGCGGAGAAGTAGGAGATAGAAACCGGCATCGGAGCAGCTAACAAGCGGCAACCTCATGCCATAGAGTTGTATGTGGTTTCCTTTGGTGAGCCAGGATGATGGCTGTCTGGTGATTCCAGTTCACCATTTGAGCTCTAGGACGCGTTCATTGCTCATGTCATTGCTCATGTCATGTCCGCACCACCTCTCCCCAGTTGCCCAATCAAGCACCTCCACATGCACAGTTCTTGACGAGTGAACACAAACATGAGGAGCATTGGGAATTCAGGCCTCTGTAGCTTGGCGTTGTCGCACCAGTACTACTGCTTTTGTTATTCAATCTGTCGCAATGTGTCGATATCTCTCAAGCATCATTATGAGCTCTCAATTGTATTCTAAAATTTAAATTTTTGTTATTTTTCTATTTTATGATAATTAAACATGTTAGATTAAGATTTATATAAGTGGACTTTAGTTTTATAGAATTTTTAGGATTACAATCCTTGATAGTATAAATTATAGCCTAATTCCTTGAATTAGGTTAATTAGGACTAAAGTGATAAGAGTTAGAAAATTAGAATAGCAACTTATTTAGTTTAATAATTTAGAGGTTGTTAGTCATTACTATAAGGGTTGACTAAAAGCCTAGGAGTGCATCTATAATCATTCACATGATTTAAAAGTTTGAATTATAATTCTCTAAATGATTTAGGGAAGTTAGTAATGAAAATTTTGGATTTTCTTCCGAATTCGACAAATTCAAGTGGCATGGTGGTTCTTCTACTTAATGGGAGTCTTTTTAATGCAATGGTGGCACCGGATTTATCTCATGGAGTGAAGAAAACAAGATCAGCAACCTCCCCTTCAAAATACAAGAGAAGCAATGAAATTCTCATTTTGAAGAATTTCACAAAAATTGCCAAGATCCTTGTAAGTAACAACTTCCATGAAAATTATAATTGAACATGGATTGAGGCATGTGAGTAGTCGATCTTAGCTTAAAAAGATGTTTTGAATACAATAGTGAAGTTAGATTTACAAAAAAAATGCTTTCTTGACCACTTACAAGAGCCATCAACCTTGATAACGAGATTGGCTCTTGGATGAATAAAGGCTGTAGATCTAGATTAGGGATCTTAAAAATCAAGGGTGAAGACATAGCCACCCTTCTCAAGCCTCCACTCAATTGTATAAGAGAGGCTTGGTTTTCCAAGCCCTCTCTCTCCTCTTTTGGGTGAAGGACGAAGCCATGCCAAAATTTGGTCGAAACCCTAATCTTAATTTTATTTAGATTTTAATTCTCATTGTGAACCTTGTGATTGTGTATGTATGGATTTTTCATTATGAAGGACGGTCATTAAGTTTTAAAATATGTTTCATTGAGGTAGATATCTCCTCAGCCTTTCAAATATTCCAAGGATTTCAAGGGCCTCGGATTTTCTTCAATAAGTTACTCAATTTCTGTTGTTTCAATATGATATTCTAAAAAGTTGTAGCTTTTGTTGTTAGCTTTCTGACAAGATAAGATTCACTTAATTTGGAGTAAGAAAGAATTTTTGGTGAATTTTTGAGTTTGAAGCAGTTGACTGCCTTTGCAGTTTGAATCAATTGAGTTTGGAAAGGCATTACTCAATGCTTGATGAGTGGCTTTACTTGAAATTTTGGAAGCATCAAGTTTTATAAGCTAAGCTCCGAGAAACACAAGTTTTGTTGAATTTGAAGATAATCTGAATTTTTAGTGAATTTCTAAGTGAAGAGGGTTGGTCACCATGGCAGTTTGGATCACTCAACTTCAAAGGAGGAATTCTCACGATTAGATCATTGGATTGTAACGAAGATTGTTTAATCAAAAGCATTTTTAAGTAAGCCTTGTAACAAGCTAAAAATCATTCAAAATGAAGCCGATTACAAATTTTGGCAAATTTTGGAGTAGAAGGGGGTGGCTGCCTTCAATCCTTGTGTTGTCAAGGTACCTTCACTTTCACCTCTCTTACTTTATTTTTACTGTCATCTTCATAGTGACTTGTAAGCTCCACATTTCACTTTTTGGCTAATAAATTTTAAATTTAACTTTTAATCTTTAATATTCTCACTTTAACTTTTAACTTTAATTTTTAACTTTAATTTTTAAACTGAACTTTTAATTTTAACTTTTCACTTAACCTTTAATCTTAACTTTTAACTTAATTTTTTTACTTAACCTTTTAATTTTAACTTTTAACTTAACCTTTTAAAAGATTAAAAATTTTAACTTAACCTTTTAATGTTTGCTGGGATTGGGGTGATTTGCAGTTCCCCTGTCTATGTCATTTGCGTGGGAGTTCATCAATTGATCCACATACTATGCAAAAAAATAAATATAATACTTTTCATAAGCTTATTTCGAAATATATCCATTGTAAATGTGAATTAGATGTCCTTGAATAGAACCAAACTTATTTTGTTATTTGATAAGATTTTATCATTAAATATTAGTTTAATTTTCATGAAAAAATTAATATTTTCTGTCAATACAAGTCTTTTCTATACTATGGATCTTCTAAACCAAAAAAATTAAAGAGATATTTTGTTTCTATTTTTAATACTTTTATTAATAACATGGTTATGGATAATTTTTATGAAAAAAAATATTATTGAAATCTAGTGATATTTTATTTGAATATGTGTTGTTCCATTGTGAAAGTGTGGTTTTTTAATTATGAATTTAAAAAATTAATTACCACTACAAATTATGCTTGGCAATAATACACTATGTCCAAATTCTTTTAATAATATTTGTGGTCACATTAGTTTTTTTAATGCCATGACTATTCTTATATATTTGGCTTTTGTATAGATTAAGTAGTATAACTTGTATATTAGAGTGCTAATTCAAAAGTCTTGTTGAACTTGCGGTTGTGTAAGAATTTAGAAAATCTAGACCATAGTATCTAATTTCTTTTAAGTACTAGAGAATCCTTTTTAAAGTTGTGAAATGTAATAAATTTGATTTTGCCATAAAATAAGCCATATGATAGATGACAAAAGATTTGTTATGCTTTGTACAAGTTACAAATTAAAATTAATATCTAAATACTCTTGTATTTGATATACAAGCTATTTAATTCAATATTTCTTTTCTATATAGTAGGTAGTATTAGATTATTATATATTAAATTTAAATAAAAGTATTAGAATATTAAAATCATTCATTGAATAATATATTAAAATCTTTGAGAAATATTTATCTTATAAGAGTAATAAAAAATAATTAGCACAATTATGTTAAATTTAAATATCAAGTGTATTTTTAGTTTTACTTTTATTCATCATAATAAAGTATAAATATACCAATTATTTAAATAAATATAGATAAAATAAAGAATTTAAAATTTATAAAAGGCTATTAATATAAATATCAAGATAAATTATTCATCTAGAAGATTCTATATAAAAAAAATCTTTGATGTCAATGTAAAAAAATAAAGGTTTTATAAGGATTTTAGTTTTTAAGCTAATAAAAGTTAATATGATTTTTGGCTAAGCATTCAAAATTCTATGTTTGATCTATCATTGAATTTTTGTAGGTGTATTGATATGCAAGCAAGTTACTTGTTTCTTAATTTTGGTGTCTTTTCACTTATTCATTTATGAGATATTTGATTGTATACTTTAGAGGGTATATACAAAAGTGTCATTTTAGTTATTTATTTATGAGATTTTTGATTGTATACTTTAGAGAGTATATACAAAAAAAAAAAAAAAGATTAGCTACTTATTTGAAGAAACCTAATGATTAAGATTTTGGATGAAAAAATATAAAGTACTAATAATGATTGTGATAATAAAGCACCACACAATATTAAAACAAAATTTTACATCTTAATTACATGATTTTGTTCCGAGAGTTCTTCATCAACCTTTAAATGCATGATTAATTATCATTAACATATATGCCTATATATT